AAACAAACCTAGCACAACTACATAGCTGGACACAGAAGGCATAGGAGACATAGGAGGACATGGGAGGACACAGAAGAGCAGCATTATTGCCAAAGTCCTCCCTGTTCTGCACCACCCCAATCACTGACTGCCCAAACAAGGTTCTGGTCAAGGTGGCAGGAGGGTGCTTTCCTCCCTGCTATCTGGAGAGCCTCGATGGTACTTACAAGGATCTCTTGGGCTCTGCAAAATCCAGCTGGAAAGCCACTAGTCTGTTTTCTAGGTCACAATAAGTAACAGTGACTTGTACATTGCTTTACAAATCCGTTTTAAGGATATAATTAAGTCATACCTTAAATGCATCTGGAGCATATATACTGCTTAAAGAACCCTGATATAAATTCTTTTTTGTAGTGAATAATCCTAACTGTTCCATCCATTTTCAAAGTTTAGATTTTCGCACACTGAGCTTTTTTTTTTTTTTTAAGATTTTATTTATTTGGGAGAGAGAGAATGAGGGACAGAGAGCATGAGAGGGAGGAGGGTCAGAGGGAGAAGGAGACTCCCTGCTGAGCAGGGAGCCTGACGTGGGACTCGATCCCGGGACTCCAGGATCATGACCTGAGCCGAAGGCAGCCACCCAACCAACTGAGCCACCCAGGCGCCCCACACTGAGCTTTCTTAAATCAGGTTATCTAAGGAAGGAATAAAAGCAGTTCCATTTTGGCTAGTCTTATGAGAATAATCACTATTTCTCCCTTCTGTGCACTCTTCAACCAATAGATGTCACTAAAGATACCAGTACCCAGAGGCTAAGGGAAGAAGAGATTAGACAAATGGAAATTGAGCATAAAAAACATCCAGTTCTTAAAACTGAGAAGTCGGCTTCCAAAGTAATAACATTTATTACACTGCATGCAACATTTTAACCAAAAATTTAAGAAAGAAATTTCTTTTATTAAGTTGCTCAGGCTGAATGGATCACAGCACTAAGTTTTGAAATACATGTTCTTGAAGCAATTTAAAACTCATTAGAAATAATAGGCTTGGGCTAGTAGAAAATGTGGTAAAATTTAATCCTCATCCAAATGTTACCTGGGCTGTACAAACAGGAAATTGTTTTGTGCTACTGTGGCTGACCTCCTTGCTGACCCTGAGCTGTAACGGCGAGAACGGCTGAGAGCTGAAGCAAAATTAAAAACTTACATCAAAGTATATCATGACAGAATGCAGATAAATAAAACAGCATATCAAAAGTATTATTTTTCTGCCAGTCTCACTGAGCAGCAAGGTAGAGGTGTTCCACAAAATATGCAACAAATCAGGTGCTAATGAAAAAGAGTCCTCCCTGTTCTGCACCACCCCAATCACTGACTGCCCAAACACTGCCCATGAGACGTGAGCAGAGAAGAAATCCAGTGAAGATGGGGACAGAAGGAATCACAGAATGTTCTGGCCTCTTTCCTCCATGGGTTTCCCCTCCCTTCCACTTGGCTTACCAAAGAAATAAATAATGCTGCTCTTCTGTGTCCTCCCAGTCATGCTCTCCCTTATCTTCCAGCCTCCTGGATGGTGACCACATGATCTCCCTCCATGAGCATATTACAGTCTCCAGAGGTAAAAGCATGGGTAATAAAGCATTACAGGGGGTGAAGATAGATCAAATCAGCTTGGCTGATGGGGGCCAGCATGGGAATCAGTGAAGGGCAAAAGATATTTTTCTATCATTCTATGTAAAGTGCATGTGTTGAAGTCAGGGCTGACAAAGTTGAAGGACATTTTCCCACGGAGCCTTTGGTTTCCCTTAAGTTTTAGGATAGAAATCACCATACTTTAAAGAACTGTGCTTCCTCATAAACACCCAAGGCACAATCTTCCTGTGGCAACTCCCAAGTGGCAATAAGGACTATGGAGGAGTCCTACAGGACTATTGTTTGAAGTTATACAGACTGAATGAAATTTGAATTCAACTACTTGGTAGCTATGCAATCTTTGGCAAGTTTCTTAATCTCTGTGAGCTTCGATTTCTTCATCACAGTCATCACAAAAGCTAACTGGTCTAAGAGCTTGCCATGCACTATTGAACTGAATCCTCGTAACCACCTTATGAAGTAGGTATTCTTTTCTCCGTCTAACAGGGAACTGAAGCAAGAAAGGCTAAGCAACTTATCCAAGGCAAAATGAGTACTGAGTGGCAGAAAAATACCCACCTTGAGGATCTGATAGGCTAATGAATGATAAATGGTCTAGTGTAGGAGCAGGCATGTAATAGCTAATTAAAAAATAAAAGCTACCATTATTATTAGTCCAAGCCAAGGTGCAGAGCCTTGCTTTAATGCCCTAGTTTTTCTTTAGGGTAAGAAAATGTACTGGCTTTCCTTCTCAAGAATGCTTTGAAGGTTTTTTCTCTTTTCTGCTTCACCTCCTTTCTCTTCTTCCCACTCTTCCTCTCTCTCCTGTCTGCTCCTCCTCTTCTTCTTCCAATGTAATCCTCACATAGTTAAGTTTCTCAGCTTTTGCTGCAATGCCTTGCCTATGTCAGACAACGTGACAGAGGACTGGGTAGCTTCTGAAGCCGATAGATTTGGCATTATTCTGAGATTGTTCTTGGTGTCACTTGCTGGACATACATTCTGTCCTAGAGGTCCAGTAACACTGGACGAGAAAGTCACTGCTCTTATCAGTCCTAATGTAATAGTGAATAAGCCCCAAAGGAAAAATTACACTTAGTGAAAGAAACTGGATTGAGAAAAAGAAGGAAAGATACAATTGTGATTGATAACAGAAATCTGACATTTCCACAGTTAAAGCTCTATCAACTACTAAGCAATTCTTATACGAACATTGTTTCCTAATAAGAAATATTATTTCCTTTTTAAAAGCGAGGAAATAGAAGCGAAGCACTTATTATAGGCAGAAGGAAGCAGGGCGGTGTGGTCCCAGCCAAGAGTAGAACCAAAAAGTGATGTGGTCAGTGAAACCCTGTCCAAAGAAGGCTGGTTCTGTGAGTCTAAGAGAACGGCTTTGGATCAAGGAGATGCATGTTCGCCGAAAGCCATTCCATGTCACACCCTGTGCCAAGCCCTTTACCCAGAGTAGCTCACTTAACCACCTCTTCTAAGTAGACGAGTAGGTCAGTAGGTAGTCATTATTCCTATTTTCGTGTATGAGAAAACAAGGCCCAAAGAAGTATGGTGTCTTGGCTGATGGGCATGGAGTTGATAAGGGTTGGTACTATGATTGGTACTCAGAGCTTTTAATCTTCAAAAACTATGCTTTTTCTTTTTTTTTTTTTTTAAAGATTTTATTTATTCATTTGAGAGAGAATGAGATAGAGAGAGAGCATGAGAAGGGGGAGGGTCAGAGGGAGAAGCAGACTCCCTGCCGAGCAGGGAGCCCGATGTGGGACTCGATCCCGGGACTCCAGGATCATGACCTGAGCCGAAGGCAGTCGCTTAACCAACTGAGTCACCCAGGCGCCCTTTTTCGTTTTTTTAAGTAGGCTCCATTCCCAGTGTGGTGCCCAGTGTGGGACTTGAATTCATGACTCTGAGATCAAGACCTGAGCTGACATCAAGAGTTGGATTCTTAACCAACTAAGCCACCTAGGTGTCCCCAAAACTATGCTTTTTCTAAGATACCATTTTGGAAAATGGTCCAGACATTTATCTTTGGTAAAACAATGAAAGGAGTTAGATACACACTGGAAGTACAGCAAACTGCATTGAGAATATTTGAGAAGGGGTCAATTTTTACCTTTAGGAGGCAAAGCATTTCTACTTTATATGATTCTAAAGTGTCTACTTCCAACAGATAAAAAAAATTGTGACAATGTAGTTGCTGGTACAGATGAATATAGGAGAGTGAAAGTTTACTGCCTTAAATAGGTGCTTTCTGGAGTTTTCATACACTTACAATCTCAAACTCTAAAAATCAAATGCACCATTAAGACTAAGCACTTTTAACAGAGGCCTACAATGCATATAGATTATCATCCCAGAATGGGTTTTGAAGTGAAAACAATTTTTATTTTTCTGCCTTTTTAAAAAAACAAAACAAAACAAAACAGGCTTTTACTTTTAAAAAGGTGATACACTTTTAGTGGTTTTTCTTATACATATGTGTGGACACACTCACACACACACAGACACTTAAAGAGGCTTTACAAAATTTTGCAAAATCTGTTTCAAGGTGCTCAAAAAGAAATATGAAAATTACAGGTAATTTTTGAGACCAAATGTACTCAGAGTTGGCTACTGATTTGGAAAAGTAAGAACCAACAGGCAAAACAGAGAAGAAGAGGAGAGGACACAGGGAACCATCTCTCAAGAAGAGCACCGCATAGAGCCCAGCCTGGAGGCAGCATTCATGGGGCAAAGTAGAACAGAGGATTCTTATCCATCCTCCCCCCATGCCCAGGCTCCATAAAGATCTCAGAGAGTTGAGAATTTCATTGATGAAGCTGTCAGAATTGGCAAGTATTAGGGTTTATGGTAGTTTTAAGGTTCAACTGTAACCGCTAACCGAATTTTTTGACAATAATTGAATAGGACCAGCTTTACTATAGAACTCTGATTCTAAGGGTGCAGTGCCCAAAAACTCACTGTAATAAAATATTTACTGCTCTTTAGCAGGATATTTTTCCAAAATTCAGTGCTGGTGACATACTGGTCTCAGCATTCCTTGATTCACAGTAGCAAATTCCCTGATGTAACTTTTGGCAATTTTGAATAGGCTCTAACTTTTCAGTATTCTATCTAGTGTATTCCCTTTGCTCACTGACACTGCAATTTTATCCAAAGGAAATTCATCAAGTTGTTCAGGCATGATTTGTAGTCAAAGGCGTGCTGCTTACTTACTTTCGATGCCAGTAGGATAGCTCTGGCTTTCTGCACTCCTATTACCCACTTCACAAATTCATACAGATAGGAAGGTTCAAAAGAACAAAATAACTAACATCTTTCTTTTCTCCGAAGAGATAAAGTTATATTGCTGAGACAAATACGGAAAAAGATACTCACCATAAGTGCAAATCATTTTACTAGCTTCTCTGAAGAGAAGAATTCCATTAGGAGATGATACATCAAAATTCAAACGCTGGGATCTAAGAAATACAGCCAAAAATCAGACTCTATATGTAGATAAAGAAACCAGATGTAGATTTAAAGTGCCTACCATTTTCATTTATTAGAAGTAGCAGCAGTACGACTATCCCCTTTTTAAAAAGATTTATTTATTTATTTGAGAGAGAGCACGTGTATGCGAGCGTGAGTGGGGGAGGGGCAGAGGGAGAGAATCTCAAGCAGACTCCCTGTTGAGTACAGAGCCCGAGGTGGGCTTGATCTCACAACCCATGAGATCGTGACCTGGGCGGAAACCAAGAGTCAGATGCTTAACTGACTGAGCCATCTAGGCGCCCCTACAATGATCCTTTTTTTAAAATGGCATTCCATTAAACAAGTGTTGATAAAATATGTATGCTGATTTCTCATTATAAAGACAGGACAATTAAGAAGAGTTAATTTCATTCATTTGCTGATTAAAGGATTCACTTTTATCTATCAAAACAATATCTTGACATCCTATATTGCAGACCTCTTACTCTCTTCTCTTTTCATGCAAAGTGGTTGATAGATAGTACATAACAAAATCCAGGTGTGTATATTTAAGTTTATATAAATACCTGGATAGAGGTTTACATTTGCAATCTCCTGAGTGCCCCATACATATTTTTAAAACAAATTCTCAAGTGATGGATAGAAGATCTAGGTACTTTTAATACTGTTCATATGCATAATGAATCACCTGAAACTTCAAGCATATTTCAAATACATTAAATTCCAGTCAGACTACAGTTTCCATTGTACATAGCTCAGATCAAGAGAAAGAAGTCCTAGAAGTTCTAAATGAGAACAATTCTACTTCTCTGGTTCCTGACAGGTGGGGGAACAGTATGAACAGGACAAAGGACGGATATGCCATTATAACATAATATTTGCTTTTTAAACATCAGTTTGGCTTTAGCTGGTTCTGATATGCCTGGTGTCTGTGCTTTCAAGAAATAATGGTATATATTTTTAAAGGACTAGCAAAAAATATGAAACCAGGTCCTAGCAAAGAGATACCAAAAAAGCAAAGATACTTGCTAAAGTCCTTTTGCCAGGAATGATGAATTGTTGCTTCTCCATGCTTTTTCAAAATGCTTTAGAATAAGGTGCAATGATAACTTATTAGAAATATTGTGAACCTTTTGATTGTTGGCATAAAATTATTGACTAAAGAAAAGAAATGTACATACATAATTCACATTAGATTCTGGAGAAATATAGACAAGATAACATTTTCTGAGGTTACAGATTTTCACTAGGTACTTCTTATATGATAATTGTGCTAGATATATATGAATCATTTGCCTACGGCAGGTATAAAATATAATATATAATGGAATGATTTTTTCATTTAGTATTAAATGTTATATCAGCAATATATAATATCAATTATTTGGTTGAAAACATCATAATTTCATAAAAACAAATTTCTAATATGAAATACATAGCTACCCTTATCTAAGATACATACGAGAATAGTTTTTAAAAAACAAACAGCCTTAAAAAGAGTAATACTCACATTTCTTTATTTGACAGGTCTTTTCCCACCTCTTGTTTAATAGATTTTAAATTATTACTGTGAAAAACCCAGCATGAGAGCTAAATTACAGCTGCAGTCCATACTCCTTCTCTGTCTGGATATCTCCCTTCCAACACACAGTTTACAAAGAGGAACTGATGAAATAGGATGGCTATGTGACAGGTAATTTGGTGTGAAGCCACATTCATAATGACATATTTTAAAGAGGTAAAACCAATTAGCTTTTTGCAGTTTTTCTCTTTTAGCTACATCTTTGTTAACATTTACATGCAGAGTATTTGAATCTCTGCTGGTTTGTGCAAATTATAAGGTCAACTAGGCAATTTTTTCTTTATTTTTAAGTTTTTAGGCAATTTTTAAGAAGTGTTGTAGCTGTAAAAAAAAAGAAGTGTTGTAGTTGCTATTTATGCTATTTTTCACTCTTAAAATTTTTTTATTGAAGTATAATTAACAGACAGTGTCATATTAGTTTCAGAACCACCATGAGATTATAGCTTACACCTGTTACAATGGCTAGAGTCAAAAAGACAAGAAATAACAAGTGTTGGCGAGAATGTGGAGAAAAAGGAACCCTTGTGCACTGTTGATGGAATGCAAAATGGTGCAGCCACTGTGAAAAGTGGTATGGAGGGTGCTCAAAAAACTAAAACTAGAACTACCAGATGATCCAGCAGTTCCACTACTGGGCATTTACGTTCCCTCTCCCAAATGAAAACAGTAATTCGAAAAGATATAGGCACCCCTGTTTATTGTCATAGCAATTTAAATGAAAACGTTGAGCACACAAATCATCCACATACATGCATACTGCCAAAGAGGAAGAAGGATAACTTAGAAGTCAAAGCAGGGACAATCCCGGGGGCTCCTGAGACAAACTATGAGTCCATGAACTGCTCTGGGACTCAGTTCCCTTCTTCATAAAGAAAGCAGCTCAACTCGGAGACCTCTAAACTTCTTTTCTGCCTTAAAAGTCTACAGAATTCAGCTAAGCCCTGAAACGGTAAAAATAGCTGCCCTTCCTCCATTTGTGCTTTGAATATTTTAAATAATGGTGGTGGTAGTCTTCCACCTCACACACCTAAGTTCTTTCTCCCAAGGGGTCTCAACCTTATGTCTCTAATTTTATTGCTTTCACCAGTTATTTTAAACCTTCTGGTTCCTGAGTTCTTGCTAAGCCTTAAATATACACATAGCAGGCAGGAAAATCTGACCTCTGGAGATGCTGCCAAATAGCGATTTTTTTTTTCTCTCCCAGTGCACTTCTTACCTATTTTGCATCAGTTCTGCCATAAGTTTTAAGATGGGAGTGGTACATGCTGGCTCTCCATACCACCGCTCGATCGTCCTCTGAAGAATGGGAAGATATGTGGGGTACCTTTTAAAAAGCCTGTTAAAGAACTTAAGGGTCAAAAGAAATATTGTTCCTGAAAATTAGTGGCACTTAAAAAGCAAAAAAGGAATCCACATTTGCTCTATGTTTAGTATACAATGGCAATTTTATAAATTGCTCTCCCTAACCTGCACAGCTGTACATTTCTGGGGGGACTGTAAATGATTTGCTCTTCTTTGTAACATATCCCATACATTATGTTCCTTCATTCTTGGTACACACTATAAATAAAAGACACACCCCAAAAGTATCATGTAAGTAACACATTTAAAGAATTGTGCTTAATACTGTAGGAAAGGAAGAGAAATTTAATGAGGATAAAGATATATTTGAATTGTTAATACCAGTTTCTTGGGCATTAAACTACTTAAGAAAAAAATGTTTATTATGAAATTTTGAAAATACATAAAAGTAGAGGGAAATAGTAATAATAACCCTCATACATCTATCTTTCAGCTTAGAAACTGCCTATTCTCTTTTTGTTTTTTTAAGTTGTTGACTTGCTCTGCTTGGTCCCACTGCAGTTGATCCAGGGAACACTGGAGATGTTAGCTTGAAGAAAAGCTTCGGGTAACTTTTAATATACTCAGGGTCAGCTAAAAGGTAGTCCCATGTACACCCAAGGAGAAATTCTCACACGTCCTCATCAATAGTAAGAAGTGTATGCCTCTGATAAGTCAATGGCGGAGACCATCGGAACCTGGAAAACCTGCCTCACTGCCACTGGCCCTTTAAGCCATAACTGACCTCCTCCTTGACAAATGGACACATAAATAGAAAATTAAGGCCTAAAACTGCAGCAGAAAAAAAACTCTTGCTGTGCCACTCCTTCCTTTCCTTTTTCTTTTCCTATTCTCTAGGTCTCTCTCTTTCTGATGTTTTCCAATGTACTTGTCTTTTTGTTTCAATGAAAGTGCTGAACTGAATCACTTAATGGCGTTCCTTCCCTGTGTGGTATGGGTAGAGATCTCCATGGTGAAAAAGATCACTATTTTTTCCCCTGTTCTTAGAATATATTTCATATTCCTTAGGATAGCATACAAGGATCTTTAAGACCCAGTCCTGCATACCTCCAGATTCATCTCTTTGTACTCCTGCCCTATCCATGGTTCAGCTGTTCTTAATTCTCTGCAAATCCACAGATGCCAACTCTCTTGTCTCCATTCCTCTACATTCGGCTTCTTCTGCTTTAACCCATTCCTCTTTCAACCTAGCTCAAGTTCACTTCCCCTGGGATGGTGAAACTTTGTCTCGTTTGCCAAAAGGCATCAATCTCTTCCTCATCTACGTTCAATGAGCACTCTGACCCCGTATCTCTTAACAACAGATTCTACTAGGGTTGCTTGCTTGTGTTATCTGCCTGCCCTATTAGAAAGTGAGTTTCTAAAGGGCAGACTGTGCTTCCCTACCATGCCCCCCGCTATTGCTATTTGTCCCTCAGAAGCCTCCCTGGCCTCCCCCTCCCCTAAGACTTGGTTAGGTATGTTTCCTATGTATGGCTATGGTACCCTGTGCTAGCTAGTGCTTTTGTATTTCTTTATCTCTCCTATTCTATTATACACTTCTTGAGGGCAGGACCAAGGCACTTGCTGTACACATGGACCTGGCGCAAAGTTGATTCCAATAAATATTTGTTGCTGTAAACTTGTCAACCTTAAAATGAGGTATAGCGTATTCGATTAGAACTATCTATTTATTTCTTCCAATGAAAATAAGCCTTCTAATCCCTTAAGAGTGGCAAGCTCCCTAAAATTGCAAAAGGCAATACTTCGTCTCCCCAGATATACAATGTTAAGTCTCTGTATTTGTATATATTGTATTTGTATATGTTGAAAGAATTTACTTAACAAGTATTTACTGAAGGCCTTTTGTAGAACTATCTATTCATTGTTTTAGACTCTCTGGAGACACCAGTGAACCAAACACTGAAAAATTCCTGCCCTCATGGAATTTATATTCTAATAAGAAAAGACAGAAAATAAATAAAAGACATATATGTTATGTTAGAAAGTACTACAAAGGTTAATAAGGTGGAGAAGGGAGATAAGAAGTGTGTATACATAAGGTTTCAGTTGGATAAAAAGGAAAAAAAAATGAAATCAATGAACTTAATTATTAATTCTATCTTGGCTATTGTCAGATAACTTACTGTTTTTTCCATGTAGTAGGAAATATGCTATTTTCTTTTTTTTTTTTAAAGATTTTATTTATTTATTTGAGACAAAATGAGAGAGAGAGAGAGCACATGAGAGGGAGGAGGGTCAGAGGGAGAAGCAGACTCCCCGCCGAGTAGGGAGCCCGATGCGGGACTCGATCCCGGGACTCCAGGATCATGACCTGAGCCGAAGGCAGTCGCTTAACCAACTGAGCCACCCAGGCGCCCGGAAATATGCTATTTTCAACAGAGCATAGATACTATGTGCTATTTACTGCACTAGGGGTGAGGGATCCAGAGACAAGTAAGGCGTGGCTTTTATTCTTGGGGAATTCATCCTCAAGTGTGAGTGGCTGACATCTAGTAGAGATGCTCTGGGTACCAAAATTCGGAAGCAGTGCCAGAGGAGCACAGGTGAGAAAGGATTCCATCAAGAGATCCCCTGAGCACGAACTTGGTGATCACTGGTGGAAAAGCATTGGAAAGGCTTGTCAGGAAACGGCAAAGACCCAAGTCTCGGAATCTCAGAGTATCCTAGGCCCACGCAAGCCCCTTTGCCAGGCATTCTAAAGGCATCAGGCCCATCCTATTTTTCAGAGCACACTGCATGCACTATGGGAGAAAGCCGGGGGATATGAGGGGATGCTCCCTTTTCTGTGTGGAATGAGAGTCGGGCCAATTCTAATATGCTTCTGACAGAGGTGACTGCCACAGAGAAAATGAGTGATTACTGGGAAGCAGAGTAGAGGCCTACCGAGCAGGGAGGTGAAAAGGGCTTCAGAGCAAGAGTGCCAGACTCAGATTACAGGGTGAGAAGCAGAACCTTCTCTCAGAGTTTAATTTTCCAGGGCCTGTGAGGACTACGTATATATGGAAAGCAGGAAGACAGTGGGAGCCCTTAGGTAGAAGAGGCACAGACCTATTGCTTTCACCTAAACCTTCTTGATGAATTCCTAACGTCTCCATCAGATAAGTGAAAGATCATAAGCATTAATGATGTGACATTGCCTTAATCAGATGCCAAATACAACAAAATGAGAAGTATGGGGTTTCCTTTTTGACAACCACCACCCATCCATCCACCCACCGCAGAGTTAGTTTAACTTACTATGTGCTGGGCCCCAAGAAAACAGAAATGAGTAAAAACGTAATTCTCTCCCCCTGGGATCTCATAGTAGGGGAAGCACAGAAATATCCTAGAAGGCAATAAAGGAGTTTTTCTTAAAACTGTTAGGAGATAGGGGTGTGAGGATGTGATTCCAGAAGAGAAACAGCCTGCCAGTTCACAGCTTATTTTAAAGGTACTCCACGAATGCAAAACAGGTGTACCTTTGTCCACAAAGCCAAATGCTGCTGGAAGTCTCTCCTTTCTCTCCTGTCTAGCAAATGCCTATTCAACTTTCAACACTTTGCCCAACTTTCACTTCCCTGGGAAGCCTACTTTTTTTAATTTTTATTTTTTGGCCCAAAATGCCAATCTCTTCCTCTTACATGTTCATATGGCCCTTTGCATACATCTTTGTGACAACACATTGACTGTTCATTAGTATGTTATACTAGTGAATATTAGTATGTTATATCCACTAGATTGTGAGCTTCTAAAGAGCCGTCCATCTTACTCATTCTGGTAAAAAGCAATCCTTTTATTCATTCCTCAGGCCTGACACATAGTACTTAAAACAATGCTTGCTGAACAGTGATTTTTCAGGTTTACTTTACTACTTGTTTTGTAAGATCCAGGGAAATATCTGCACTTTGACAGAGCCCTTTCTGATTCCCCAGCTAAATGCAATCACTCTATTTGTATCTGTTGTTATGGCACTCATCACCTTCTATATTTTATTACAGTCATTTATGTAGGTATCTAACAGACTCTATTTAATTACAAGCTCATTTTGGGATAGGATTTGAGTCTAAGTAATCTACATCCCTCATGAAACCTAGCACAGTCCTTAGCCAAATTTGCTGAATAAGTGAGCAAATGGGATTCATTTGTCTCATCCCATATCAAGGAGAGGAACTAACAACAGTGGTGGAGTATTTACTTTGTGTCAGACATTATAGTGGGCCCTTTATAGATGTCAGTTCACTCACTTTTTACACTATACCTGTGAGACAGGTATGATTAACCCTGTTTTGTGGAAGAGAAAACTGATTCTGAGACAGTAAGGAAGTTCCCCAAGGCCCCACAGGTTAAGTGGTGAAGCCAGGACTGGAATCCACGACTGTTTTATTCTGAGGTTTGTGCCCTTCTATATCCCTCCACATGGTCTTGTCTTTGTATGATGTGTTTATGCATACTAATAAACAGCACTCATGACCTGACTGAAAACCAGTGGACTCAGAGATCAGGTTATGACGATCATACACTTTCCTTTTTCTTCTCTTTTTTTTCCAATTGCCGTCTGGATTTTTGACACTCAGCAGTCTAAGTATGATCTGGGAAAAGTCTAAACAAGGTGACTAAATGCACTACAAGGTAAGGTGCTTTTATATTGTCGTGTTCTCACTATAGGGGCAAAGAAGTGTATCAACGATTCTTCAATTCTCCAGGAACAGAACAATTTATCAACATGTTTGCTATGTAGTTGCAGGCAATTTGGTTTTGGAAGGACAGTGATAAGCAATGCAGTTCGTGTAGCAGTTAATGCAGTCAGTGTTTACAGAAATGTTTTTGAATTAAATAGCTAACCACTAAAATAGCATTTTATCAAATAATCGTCATAAATAAAATGCATTTTGACTTTAAGATGACATATGCTCTTACAGGACATTTCTTCTGCATGCTAAGGACTGTATAACAAATTAAAGAACACACATTTGTGTGGATAAAAAGCAAAAATAAACTTTCCCCAGCAGTAATGTGGGAATCATCACTGACGGTTTGACATATCAATATTTCAGGAAGAATAAATGACTTTCATATCCATGTTTGTTGTTTTTTTTTTTTTTACCATATACTTATTCATTTTTACTTTACTAGAATACTTTGAAAAGAATCTATACCTTATCACCTGAAACTGCTTAAAGTATTTCAAAATATTTTAATAAAGCTTTTTGAATTATCAAATAATGTAACTTTTAAACAAATTTTACTATTATTATAAATATTTGCTCTTCATCCCTTGCCCAAAGGAAAACTATAAATCTTGTCTCAACTGAATGAACACCATTTATCATATTCATTTTGTTGTCAATACAATTATGAAAAGCCTTTGGCCTTTTCCCAAGGAAGCTGATTTGCTACTGAAACTCAATTATTATAAGCAAAGCCGGTACCAAGCCATCCTGTTCGGCAATCTAACATAGCTTCCTGCATAACTAACACTTCGCCCTCCACCACTGACCCTAATAACATCAACATCTATGGTCACATGGAGGAGACAATAGTTTCCAGTTCAAAACAAAACATTGAGTCCCAAGGCCTTCCATTTGCTATTGTCGCTATTGTCTGCCATCTGCTGGACAAAAGTTTCATTTCAGCTAGGTGCCCAAAAGACGAAGCTTAGGGAGGAAATGGAAAACAGACTTAATTAAAAACTTCAATTATAATATGTTCTATGAATTTTAGGCAGTATCAATTATGGCAGATATTTATATTCTTTGACACTGAGGGGAAAGGTTCTGGACTTGATTCTTGGTTGGAACTGTTGAGGAGGGAAACATGAAACATTAATTGCTGGACTAGGCCTGGAGTTACAGCTTGGTTTCAAGATCACCATCAATTTTAAAGTGCCAAAACTAGGTTTTTATGATTTTTCAAATAAATGAAAGTTTTTACTTTGTGAGCTTCCATTTATGTTTAGATAAATAAAAGGTCGTATGTAATTTCAGTTTATTCTTCATAGTTAAAAGACTTTTAGGACTTCCCATGTTAAAAACTACAGTCTCTGTACATGTACTTTGTATGCTGATATAAAGACATGGTTCTTCAATGACATGGAAAATTCTTATCTCTAACCCTTCTATGGACACATATATCTGATGAAGTAGGTTTTAATAGTAACTAAAAATGTAAGTCAGTATTCAAATTAATGTTAAAAATTTTTTTTTAATGCGTAGAGTTCGCCCTAAAACATGCCCAGACCCCTTGTTAGCTATGTTTTTGGCCTAACTGTGGCATCCATAGGGAAAGACTGCCTTTAAGAAGTTTCTTTTGCAGCTCAATTTATGAAGGAAGTTTGGATAAGAAGGACTTCAAGAGCCAACTGAGAAAGAGAGTAATTTAAAAAATAAAACAGCTTTAAGGCTATCGAATTCTTTTTAGGTGTTCTGATGGTTTTATGTATAAAGACATGAAAACATATTACACCTATACGACTTGTGTAAATTGTCACTTCCTGTTAGGATCAAGGAGGATTCATACAATATTATTAAAACAGTATTAATAGCAACTGTTTATGACTCCCAGATACGTTCCGGACATTATACAAAGTGTGTTACCTATTTTAAGGGTCACAGTGAGCTATGTGATACTGGATGTCTCCTTTTCTAGATGAGAAAACCAAGACTCAGGTGAAATGACTTGCCAAGGTTTACACGGCAAGTGGGGTGCTGGATTTCAAACCTGGTCTGACACCAAAGTCCATGCTCGTCTCACTCTTACGTGAAGAGGTGTTTCTGTGGGAGATGTTTGTTTGTTTCTTTGTTTACTGATGTTGTTCTCTGTACTAAGCCTTGGCAAAGGAAAATTCAGATTTTATACCAAATGAAAAATCCTGACCATTTATTTCCCCTTTTTCACGTCCATTAATATTCTCATGATGGCGAAAAACTGTAGCATGATAAATTAAGCCTCTGAGAGATAAAGTAACCTGCTAATTGAGATGGAGTAGAAATTCAAATCTCCTCGAAAAATGCCAAATGGTAAGATTCATTGATCCTGAGTTAAAGATGTTGGCCTGATTATCCCTGCAATCCCTACATAAACAATCATTTGGGGATGTGATTTTTAAGTTGTCAATATTTAATGGCACCAAAAAGTGACCTCTCTGAGCTGGGTCTCCAAATGCTGTGCTCAGTTATCTGCACTGCTGCCACTGTGCTGTAATTTTTAGCTGATTACACATTAGTTCATTTAGCTTTGTTTCCTCTTCCCTACTGTGCCATACTATTAAACGAAAGCGAGGGGCCTGGCACCCCTCTGTGCACGGAGCTGGTATTGTCACACTGTAATAAGGATACATCCAGTCAAACAGCATGGTGTAGCTGCTCTTTGTGTTCAGTGCAAAGGCAATCCCTCGAAGATCTCTTGCCAGCCCGATCAACATACGCTGTCAGTGGGAAAGAGACACAGTAATTGATTTTCACGTTAGCACAGAGCAGATGGAGTAATAATCAGGCAATAATGACCACATATCTGATTTTGATTCATTAGCTAAAATGTCTCGCTCAGATCCCTTTCTATAGAAAACCGTAGAGCCTTTTAAACAAGCAGACCATCAAATCTGCTGACCAACTCGACTTTGCTTCTTATAAATTGAGCTAAGTCATGATTCCAGTAGTTTAGGAACATTTGGATTCTTAATATACTTTGTTTCTGAATAATGCCAAATTAGAAAAAAAAAAGGGGGGGGGAGAAGAGGATTGATAATTCCACAGAACAGAGATGCACAGGGTCTAGACGTTATTTAATAATAGCAAATCTTAAACCACACCAGCTTGCATGCAGTCAGTCCACTATGCAACCTAGAGTCTATCCTGGAAGCACACTGGCATTTAAAGATCCCGAAAGAATATCTCTAGTCACCGAGGACAAAATAAAACTGGCCAGGTGACCTATTGCTACCATGACATTCCGAGAAGGGCATTCACAATCCCCAAGCAAGGAAAAGGAAAAGGTGTAAGGAAAAGAGATCTGTACTGGTTATTAGAAGACTTGAATTTGAGTCCCAGCTCTGTTGCTTGGCTGTAAGACTTAAGGCAAGGCAACCACTCAGTCTCAGTTTTCTCATCTATAAAAGGGGCTACTATTGCCTCTTTCACAGAGGCATTGTGAGGAATAAGTTTAATAAATTTGTGTAAATATGCCTAACAAGAGCCTGACACGTACTAAATGTTCCATAAATATTTAGTTTCAGAGAGACAGAAAAAAACTACTTGACTCTTAAATAAAAGAGACCTGACTTGTACTCCGGACTCTTAATTAAGCTGTCCTTAGGATGATGCTTGGGAAGAGAAAAAGAAAACCCAGGAACAGATGCTAGAATGTCAGAACAAAGAGCACAAATAAACATAATTGCAAAACAAGGGGGTGGGATAATTGAGATATGCAACTGTGATTTCTGAAGATACTGTTTCAGTAGAAAGATTCTGCCAGGAAATGGCTCTGAAGTTTTCTTTTTACCAGATTTTCTTTTTCCTCACACATTGGTAAGAAATGAAAACCTCTTTATAGGAAGGCCTTTAAATGATCATCAAGGACTTGGAAGTGAATCGTAAGCCTCATCTTAATGGCTAAATAACATCTCAAAGTACAATAACCGTTTATCTGTCAGAAGTACCTGCAATTTCTGATCATCCCCCAACCTTGTACCTAAAAGGTGACTCGATATAACCAGAAGTCATCGTTTATAAAATATTTAGTTTCTAACCGCCTAACCGTTTCTAAAGTGATGGTAATCTGAATTTCTGAGTCTGTAAACCCTGAATTAATGTTTCTGTTTCTTTAAATGACTCATTCTTTTTCCTCTCATACCTCACTAGTCCTTGTTAGTCTAGAATCGGCTCACCTCCTTACAGTTCTCTCATGTGACTTGCTCTTTTTTAAAAAAAAAAAAGCCGTTTTGCCTTTTAGTGTAACCTATTTTCACCACCTGGAACCTGTTCCCCTCTTTTGTAGATTTCCACGTTTCTCACAGCCTCCAGAACAAAATTCGTCTTCTCAGAAGCCTTCTTGGAACAATCCTATTCTGAGTACGTAGCTCTGCAGTCTTTCTATGATAGTGGGCATTTCTATTTTTATTATGTATAATAAAAATATGTACAGGTTACAGGTTATGCTTTCAAATGACATTAAGTTTTCACATATACATAAGGCACCCACATTCAGCTCTAAACTGGTCAACAGGAACCAGGAGTTTCACTTTCTTCATGCCTAGTGCAAAGGGCTCTTAAAATATCTTTAGACCATCTTCATTACACAAAAAAGGCTAACATTTACTCTATCACAAATTTTTCTTCTTTAAAAGATGCCAAGTTAATAAAAGTGCTCTAAGTGACTCGCATCTATGAAATCATATCAATGTTTACTTTTAGAAAATGTTACTACAGAGCAGAGGAAGCATATAACAATGTAAGAGCTAACTGTATCTTTTCGATAGATTCGACTGGACAGGAAAATGCAGTGTTCATGTGAATAAGACATAGATTTCTTTCTTTTTTTTTTTTTATAAAAGATTTTATTTATCCATTCATGAGAGAGAGAGAGGCAGAGGGAGAAGCAGACCTCCTGCAGAGCGGGGAGCCCGATGCGGGACTCGATCCCAGGACTCCGGGATCATGACCTGAGCCGAAGGCAGACGCTTAACCATCTGAGCCACCCAGGCGCCCAAGAAATAGATTTCTTATGCTCAGACAATATCATGTATCTTACGGCAGCAAGAGTACTGTAACAGTCTATACAGATACTCAGCACTGAGGGAGTACTTTCTTGGTAGCCAAAACGTGCCCAGCTCTGCCATGAGACAGGCCGACTGTTACCTAGAAGTTCAACTGGACTACTAAGCAATCTCAGAGAACAAGAGGCGGTCTGACCAAAATTTAGGGAAGGGGGAGCCACGGTTCACCATCTCATTTAAAATAGTACAAAGGGGTTTATTTCAAAAGTTGCCCTTCTCCTATAGTTGGTCCACACTTGACTGGTCCTATGTCTTTAGTGAGGCTGGTTTGGGGAGCCGGGTAGGTCTGGGGTATCTGATCTTAAGGATGCCTTCTGGATAGTTCTAGGAGAAACCGCTCAGTGCTTCAGCATGCTGCATGGTGAACAGTTGTCTGTGTGCCAAAGCGTGAGACAAATGGGCCGGGAAACAGCTGAAATGCGGCTCCTTCCACCCTGACCCCCCAAACAGGGTTTCTAATGGCAAGTCTGACAGACCCTTTATTGTAGTGGCACTACTGGGGGCAGCTATAATATTATCCTCATAATTCCACTATATAATAACAACAAAGAAAAAGAAGGTGAAGGGTCATTGTGCTTTGTCTTTAGAATTAAGATGGCTGTCTTCATCCTTACAGCATACTCTTAATTCTGGAGACACATCTTAATAACCTCTAAATAGTTCCAACAAAAGAGCCGTGTCAGAGGAATGAGCAGGCCCCAAGGTGTTTCAACTGGAGTGTTTTCATCTGCCTTTATTGCTCTATCCCTCTCCAGAATTAAGGCAATAACCTGTGATAAATTATTCAGGAACTGCTACAGGGATCAAAGCAAAATCATTCTGTTAAAGTGCTGTTTGCAACATTTGGCACTTAGTGCGAAAACTTTTAATGTGCGCATGCTGAAAATCAAGGATTTTAAATAATTTAACATTGTGGAGTTTTTACGAAGGGACTAAAGATAGCAGGTTCCTATTTAACTGCTCCTCTTCCTCCGAGAAGTTTTCATTCATTTTCCTTAAACTCGATGACGTCATGGCCAAATCAAAAATGATGCATGAGTCAAGGGAGTGTGGACTATATTTTACTGTGGATACAATTACAGGGGGGAACACATATATTTTGAACTAATGCTTTAGAGCCAGGATTTGTCACAGCATTTTCTTTCTTTTTCCCTTTACTATGAAGAGAAAAACCCAAGACAAAAATTCAATGTTCTCTTCAATTTTATTGGGACTAAGTTAAGAAAACAAAGCTATAAATTTAAGAGCTTTGCAGCATTTCCGTCCCTCACAACCATATTTCAATTTGGCAACATAGGTCCTTGATGCTTATGTTCATCCTAAAACCCGCACTTGAAAAATATCTATAAATAGGGAGCTAGAAAATGCTGGTAAGGGTTGCAAATTAAATGAATTTGGCAGTCCTGCGGCATTTTCATAGAGATATTTTAACAGCATCACCTCCTGTGGATTGGAATACTAAATACTTTATTGAAGAACAAAACAGAACTGTTTTTATCTCTAGTACTTGCAAAATGAAGTACCTGAAAGCACTTTTGCATGTATTATTTATTCATCATGATAGAAAAATAGCCTTAACCTAATAAATTACATTTAAAAGCATTTAGTGCAAAAGTTTTGTTTATGATAAAGCAACAGATTTAGTTCTTTATCGGTAGCTTAAAGCACCAAGTTTTCTTTATACAAATTAGACAGATGGTGCTTACAGTAGAATTTACTAAAGGTCTGTCACAACAAATGCAGCCAAGCTGCATATTTAATCACTGCAGAATCTTGTCTACCTGCAGCTGCCAACTGCTAATCCAATTTCCCTGATAAATGTGGCAAGAGACACGATCAGCAATAAAGAGCATCTAACTCCATTTTCCTGCAGGGCGTCTTTTGATGAACATTTAGGACGGAAGCACGGAGTGCACTGTGTGGCCTTGGTTCGCGGCAGCTGCATGCATTCTGAGGCACAGTTCTCAGGTTACTCACTTAATTCTGCCACTATCATTACGTTGCTATTGATCTCAGTAGCTGTTGCCTACACAGCATTACTCTAGATGAAGCTGAATCAGGCAGTTATCATGCATCAAACTTGCTCAAAAGCCTGGAGATTTCCCCTTAATTACTTGTGATTTTATTTGCAAATACCGTTAAAGTGTAATCAAGCAGTCACTTTCCAGGGTCGTTAAGAACTTGCTGGTTTAGGGATATATCACTGGAACTCCATTAAAAATGACTCTAGGAAGATGGTTTCTATCAAACTAGATGGGATTACATCAAAATGGGCTTGGAGTATAATGAAATCTTCAAATGAGACAAATGTAATTTTTATCAAGATGGTGTTTTTCAACCTCACTGCTTCTTTCGGATATAAAGGGCATGGAGAGCCACCTTAAAGCTGCAAAGCTTTTGTTGGTCCTTCAAAATATTTGGAAGACATCTAAAAAATACAGCTAACCTGAGTAGAAACTCTGGTGAAGAGTTTTCACAAGATGATGAACACAAAGAAAATCTCTAAGATCCTTTTTGGTTTTAAAATTCTATGACTATTGCATGTTGATAAACATTAATTTCAAAAACTATTTCAAAAGGTATCGCATTTGGCTAATTATTTTCTGGTAGAAGAATTTCCCTAAAATAATCATCAAAGGCCACTGTTTTACTATCTGGCTTCTTACTGCATGCATATATATATTTTAGAGAGAGGAGAGGCCATGGAAAATGATGGTTAATGTTTTCGACTTATTCCAAATAACAATAAAATATGACTTGAGCATCACTAACAAAGGTGCCTGCATCCTCTAGAGTACATTTATTAGTCTTTTAAAAATAATAATCAGTGTCAATCTATTTAATATAGCCCAGATACATTATGATTTCAGAAGATGCTATTCCTATTTTGCAGATCTTGTGTTCCTCACCCCCCACATTAAAATATGGGACTGTTTTGTCACAAACAGCTTGCTACACTTAAGGATTTTACTAATAAAACATAATGTTGTCTTAGATATTATGACTGTTGCCACAGCTGAACTGACTTGTCAAATCAATCCTAATACGGCTCCCACAGGCACATAAAAACCTTATTTAGCTATCAGTTATCCTAATCACTTTGTTCAGTTTAAGAATGCAATACTTCAAGACCAGCTCCTATTTATACATATATGCCTAGCCATTTAATAATGTCTTGATTTATATAAATTCTTGTTTAAAAAAATATTTAGAGATGTAGTGTTTTAGCATGAGTATGTGTGCATTCCTCCATATAAATATATTGAGGCATACAGTGCAGGGTAGATGAGGGAAGAGAGATGCTTTAAGTGGTGTACCCATGAGAAGTGTTCTTTTAAAGATACTGCCACAAGAGACAAATCATCTAATCATAAACTGCCCCAAATCACTCGCTGACCTCAAAGTCAATTTGTACAAGAAACTAAAGAAGTACTTACACGAAAAGTACAACTCAAAGACACATGCAATTGAGGAAGCAAGACTGATGAGGCGCAGAGCACGTACAAATATGCAGAAACCTTTTTGTGGATCTAGATATCCCAGCATGAGCAAAAGCATCTTTCATCACATTTAGGAACAAACCCACCTTCACATCTTCTTGTTTAAAGTTGTTGTTGAATATCTGTAATACTGTTTCAAAAGAGACTGTAAGAGGCAGCATGAAATTCTCAAATTCGTCTTCATCTTCGCCTATCAGAAAAACAAAAGGGTCACCATGGTTTAAAATGCATGCTATTGTACATTAGCCTAGGCAGTGAGTGCTTCATTCAGGCTTAGAAATGTCCCTGGGAAAGGGTCAGTCTGCATTCACACTCATGCTGTATTTTGTACTTTGTTTGGCTCATTGAATATTCCTGTGTTTTGCCTTCTCTTTTGCACCAAATGAAATAGCAAAATTACTTACCAGCCATTTTTTTTTTTCTGGCTCTTTATTGGATCAAACAGACTCATGCCCCAGGCATCTCAGCCCTTCAGTTCTTAGTGCCCCCAGAGCTTCCCCAATGCCTCAAGGAAAGCCACTTTCAAAGCCTCAGAGACAGGGATCCTTTTTTCCCCTTCTCTTTAGGTGCCAAGGCCCTAAAGGGCTCAAAGACTCAGGTGCCCAGAAAGCTCTAAGTTATTATTCCCCTTTATTTATGTTCTTTTTTATTAATTTGTTAAATAGATAGCAGAGAAACTTTTATCTGCCAAATAAGATGGGGGTCCCTCATGGGTCATTTGGATTTTAAGTACATTCTCCATGGGTACACTTCCTCTTGCACCAAGCTTCCTTTTCTTTATAGAAACAAGTCATTTTCTATTGTTTTTTCCCTTGAAATGTAGACTGCAGTTTCCTTAAGGATTCTATCAAAACAGAATCTTCACTTCAAACATGGATATGCACAAATCGCAATTTGTTTTTTATTAAAAAGTTATATTTTAGTTGACAATGTTATCATTAGTTTCAGGTATACAACACAGTGATTCAACTTCTCTATAGTTACGCTCTGCTCCCCACAACTGCAGCTACAATCCGTCACCACACAATGCCATCACAGTATCATTGACTACACTCCCTATGCTGTGCCTTTTATTCCCCTGACTCACTCACTCCATAACTGAAAGCCTGTATCTCCCACTCCCCTTCACCCGTTTTGCCCATCCCCTCACCTCCCTTCCCTCCGGCAACCATCAGTTTGCTCTTGGTATTTATAGTCTGATCCTGCTTTTGGTTTATTCATTTTTTTTACATTCCACCTGAGTAAAATCATATGGTATTGTTTTTCTCTGTCTGACTTATTTCACTTAGCATAATACCTCTAAGTCCATTCATGTCGCAAATGGCAAGACCTCATCCTTTTTTATGGCTATGCAATATTTCAGTGTGTGTGTGTGTGTGTGTGTGTGCGTGCGCACGTACCACATCTTCCTTATCCATAGACACTTAGGTTGCTTCCGTATCCTGGCTACACAACTGACAAGTTATATAGTATTCTTTTCATAAGGGGTTTCTTTTTTTTTTTTTAAGATTTTATTTATTTATTTGTTTGTTTATTTATTTATAGAGTGAGCAGGGGGAGGGGCAGAGGGAGAGGGAGAGAATCTCAAGCAGACTCCACACTGAGCATGTGGATCCCGATGCGGTGCTCCATCTCATAACCCCAAGATCATGAGCTGAGCTGAAATCAAGAGTTGGATGCTCAACCAACTGAGCCACCCAGGCGTCCCAAGGGGTTTCTTTTCTTTAATTTTTTTAAAAGGATGAAGCCTGATGTGGGGCTTGATCCCAGGACCCTGGGATCATGACCTGAGCTGAAGGCAGATGCTTTAACCGACTGAGCCACCCAGGCGCCCCAAGGTGTTTCTTTTAAATGAGAGAGTTGATTCTTTCCTTCATCCAATGCCACAGGAATTGTGAGCCCCCCACTTTACTGATGAAGAAACAGGCAGAGGAAGGTTAAGTGACCTGCTCAAAGTAGCATACTTAGGAAGTGACCCTATATGGTCCAGACCTCCTGATTTCGATGCTATCACTTTTTAAATAGAGCATTAGAGAGGAAACAAGATCTCGGAGAAGAGATCAGTGATTCTCAAGTTTGGTCCTTGACATAGCAGCATCAGCATCACTAGGGAACTTACCAGGTGTAAATTCCTGGGTTCCATCCCAGAGCTACTGAATCGGGGACCCTGGGGGTGTGGGTCTAGAAATTTGTTTTAAGAAGCCCTTCAGGTGATTCAGATGTATGCAAATATTTGAGAAACACTGGTCTGTACATCATTCTACAGATAACACAGAGGGTCAATGGAACAATCAGGATCTTTAGCCTCTTATGGAGAGGCTGATCTGGCTGACCCTCATCTTTTGTTACTTCTCTTTCCCCTTTAACCTTATGCACTTTATTTCCAGAGTCCAAAAGAATCAAGGACTTAGCTTTGTTCACAAAGAGATATCAAAAGGTCAATGAGACTTTCCTGGTATGCTGTTCTAAACAAGGGTCAGATCTCTAAGTGAAGGGTAAAGCAGACCAGATTATAATCCCTGCTCTGTCAACTGGCTATGCGACCAAGCTATTCCTCTTAGCTACATCCTCTGTCAGCTGGTGATAACATTAGAGACCTTTACAGAAGGTCTTCCTTTTCCAAGCCCAGGTGAAACAGCAGCTCTCCCAATCTGAGCTAAGCTCACCTGCAAGTACTCCCTAAGGCCCCCCACAAGCAATCCCCCTTCTCCCTGTGGGATGCCACAGCATTTTGTCTACTCTTGACAATAGGTAACATTGATCAGTCTGCCTCGAATTTGTAGATATTTAGGCATATAGCTAATAATAGTAATAATAATGCCTAACATCATTCCAGCACTACCACCATTTGATGAGGGTTACTGTGGGGATTAAATAAAATAAAATTTACAATGTGTGTATGTAAATTATTAGATTTGTCAGCCTACACTGATAGTATCTTTGGCTGTGCTTCTGGAGAGCTGAGACTGTATCTTTGCATTTCTCAGTGAAGGAGAATGATGTAGGCAGGTAAAGCTCAGCAATAAACAGAACCAGTGTCTGGCTCCACCCCTTACTGCTTAACTTCGGATATTCACTAATTACCCTGAGTCTCAGTTTTCTCATCTACAAAATAAGGATAAAAATACCTATCTTTGTGAATATTTAATGTTCTAACACATGAAAAATAGAAGATGCTCAATAAATAGTAGGGTGGTGCTAGCATTATATAGTATTGGCACCTAGAACAGTGCCTGGCATGTATTAGGGAAATACTGTATTTGAATGAAAATAAAGGTGAATTTAAAAAAATCCCTTATTTTCTTAATACCTGATATGAATAATACAATAGCTAATTGAAGTAGACATTATCAAATCCTTAAATATATAATATATATACACATTATATTTAAATGATGTATTCTTACTCTCCTAAGATAACGTATCTTCTAAATACGGAATTATTCATGAGAACAGTGGTAACAATCACTGTAGGCAGATAAGGGTACAGGAAAGAGTGGATGCTTTGAAGGTTCTAAGTTCAAATCCTGGCTCTGCTACTTGTTAGCATTCTGGTTTTGGATAAATGAGAGCCATTAACATTTTTGTTGTTTTAAGCTTTATATGGACCTAGAGAGGTGATTACGGTGTTCAAATAAAGCGTGACCACCAGGTTGTCCCCCAATACCCTTCCTTTGGGAGCAAAGCTTTCCCAAGATAAAGATATTTAATCAGAACAAAGATAAATTCAGGACTTTACCATTCAACCCTTCACTTAATACACGGAGCTAGAGATCAAAAAACTTCCTGACTCATCTCTTTCCTCAATCAAAGTTTGAGGTATGGGAAAATCAAGGCACAGAAGACAAGCCACCAACATGTGCAGGGAGAAGTCAAAGAGCAAATACTAAAGAAAGGAATGTAAACAGCAATTCTACTTTAATGTCATATCCTCAGAGAGGCCTTCCCTGACCTCTCTACCTAAAACATTACTGTAAAACTCGCCCCGACCCCCACCCATTTTCCACTCCCATAATCTACTTTATTTTTCTTATGGGACTTACTGTGACCGCGCTGTATATTCACATATGTATTCATGGTCTTCCCTAATAGAATGTAAGTTCCTTGATGCAGGAACTTCATCTGTTTTGATCACGACTACATCCCCAGTGCCTAGAATAGGGTCTGGCATTCAAGAAATAGTTGTGTAGTGACTGAATAACAGAACAGTAGTTATTTCCTGAGTGCTTATTATGTGAAGGCAATGAGTTTAATACTTGATTTACTTAACAGACACCAATGTAGCTGTTCCTAGGTTCCAAGCACTGCTGCAAATCATTAACGGTCTCAACAATCCTATGGAGTTGTATGATGATTTCCTTCATTTTACATGCGAACAGAGAGGCTCAAAGGGGTTAAATGGTTTGCCCAACAACCCTGGGCTGGTATATGTCAGTGGACTTGGATCCCCAATTCCATCGGCTTTACCTCCAGCTCATGTTCTTTCCCCTGTCTTTACAGGGGTGGACGGTATCAGAGGTAGGCACTGAAGTCAGGGTTACAGAATCTTGAGTTTAGAGCTGCATGAAGTTAGAAGAGGGTGAAGAGGGGTGGCTGGGTGGCTCAGTCGGTTAAGTTGGCTGCCTTCAGCTCAGGTCATGATCCCAGGGTCCTGGGATCGAGCCCCACATCGGGCTCCCTGCTCAGCGGGAAGCCTGTGTCTCCCTCTCCCTCTGCTTGCTTGTGTTACTGCTCTCGCTATCTCTCTCTCTGTCAAATAAATAAATAAAATCTTAAAAAAAAAAAAAGAAGAGGGTGCAGAACAATCACATCGGTTCTGGTAGGGAGAAAGGGATTCCTCAACAATCATTTGAGTTTAAGATAGGCAAATATGATACACTGGTGCATTATTTCCACAAAAATGTTTATGTTTCAGTTAGCACTGTTCCTCTCTTATTGCAAAGTGATACGTTGTATTATCTAAGTTGGAAAACTGGTCATTTTTGTTTATGTCATGCAAACAAACTCTATACAACATTTATTAGAGATTTTTTTCCTTATTTGTATTACTCTTAGAGGTATCAATTACTGCTTCTGACAGGAAAGGAGAAATACACAAGTTCACTCTTTTACAACTTCATATTCAAGTATGCAGTCATATATTTAATACGCCAAATGTATATGATCATTTTATGAATAATAATTGAAGCT